ACCCAGCAGTAGCCTACACAGGTACAGCTGGAATGATTATTTGATTGTTGTATTTATTTTAGTGATATTGTGAGTGGACGTTTAGGTGGATAAAACAAGTATGGTTTCATTTTGAGCTTTGTGTTATCATAAGGGACATTTCTCACAGTTTTCTTTGTTTTTACAAACCAAATAATTAGTCAGTTAATTGAAAAAAAAACCATGAGATTAATATCTAATATTAATCACCATTAGCTTATCCCTTTTATAAGATTATTAAAAATCAGCTCCACTTCAGCCACCTGCATTGGTAAAATGCTGCCATAAAGATGATGCATGAGTCATTTGATGAAACTGTATAACAGTCACAAGGGACCTTTTAATAGTCTGAGTAAAATGTTCTGATTATACTTGCATACTTTTACTTAAAGAGCATTTTGAATGCAGAACCTTTACTTGTAATGGGGTACCACTTCTAATGTGGTGTTAGTACTTTTACTTACTTGAGTAAACAATCTGAGTACCTTTTTCACTTAACTTAGAATTTGGCATGCACATACTTTGTACAATGATACGATGATCAAAATTAGAATCATATTTGTTTGCCAACTATGTTGAACACACAAAGAATTGACTTCAGTACAGTGGCTCTCAATGTGCTTTGAAAGTCAACCAGAAAAAAATGTTCGTTTAAATAAACTAAATCTAAATAAAATATACAAAAACAACAATTTATTAACAAATATATCTACATACAGTATATTGAATGTGAAAGAAGAGCTTTTAGATATGTAGAGTCATTATATTTACAAATTCTTGCACTGCATATGTTTGCTGTATCCTGTTATACATATGTATATATATGACTATGGATTAATTGTTCCTGAGAGTGATGCCACAGGGGAAGAAACTGTTCTTGTGTCCTGTTTTTTTTTTTTTGGCGCACAGTGACCTGTAGTGCTGTCCGGAGGGGAGCAGTTCAAATAGTTTGTCTCCGGGGTGTGAGGGGTCAGCAGAAATAATCTCTGCCCTCCTTTTGACCCGTGATGTGTACAGGTCCTCCATGGAGGGCAGGCTGGCACCGATAATTCATTCTGTGGTCCAAACTGTCTGTTGGAGTCTCTTCCTGTCCTGTTTGGTTCTGCAACCAAACCAGACAGTGATGGATGAACAGAGTCAATGATTCCTCTGTAGAACTGTATCAGCAGATTCAGGTTGAACTTCCTGAGCTGGTGCAGGAAGTACATCCTCTGCTGTACCTTCTTGGTGATGGTACTGATGTTGAATGTCCACTTCAATTCCTGGGAGATAGTGGAGGTTTCTACTGCTGATACAGTGCTATTAAGTATGGTGAGGGGCTCCTCCTGAAGTCCACTGTCATGTCCACTGAACGTATTCAGCTCCAGGTTGTTGCAACTGCTCCACAGGGCCAGCTATTCAACCTCTTGTCTGTATGCAGACTAGTCACATGCTCGCTGTTGCGATAACCCTACGAAAAGTTTTGTTTTTTTGGCCAGCCTTTCCTTTCCTCTTCTCATGACATACTGTGGTGATGTGGATTTTAATCGCCATTTAGAGACAAAAATATAATCTTTAACTGTAAACCTATTTCATTGTTGATTTAATCTGTCTGCTGCTTCTTCAAATGTCAAGAAAAGACAAGCGTCAATTACAAGTCATTACAATTACAATTACGAATGACATTTTAAATTAGTTTTGTTTGACCAGCAGTTAGAAAAATGCTATTGCATTTCTGCATTGTAAAACTATAATTATCAAACATTTGGTATTTTACTTAATACATGACTTAAAGAAAGGATTAATTTATCATTACAGTTATTTCCTTGATCAGTGTGTTTTTATTATACAATTATTGGTTATTATGTCAAATACAATACTTGAGAGTTTTTAACCAGGAAGAATAATTGTAATACATCACAAGGAGTGCTCAGGCAATTTGTGAGTGCTCCTTGTGATTTATTGCTGATCATAGTAAACAGAAGTCAACATATACAGTAATCAATAGTAAAACAATCGTTGCTCGCTAAATAGCCTTTAAAAGCACTAATAATCATGCTCCTATATTACCACACTACTAATAAATAGTGAAGCTCAAGGAAATTAAAATGTTTGATTTTGTCATTATTGCTGTCTAGTTTTATTTCTAATGTTTGCTCACCTCTCCTAGTCATCTTTTCCTCCTGCTGCTTTCACATAAACAACAATGTAATTAACATAATATAAATGCTGATGTGTCTACAGGTCACTTCACCTCTGCAGAGGACCTCAATCTGCTCATTGCCAAAAACACACGCTTAGAGATCTATGTGGTCACGGCGGAGGGGCTGAGGCCTGTCAAGGAAGTGGGCATGTATGGCAAAATTGCTGTCATGGAGCTCTTCCGGCCCAAGGTACCTGGTGTGTGTGCATGCGCATGCACGCAGTTGGCAACAAAATGAAACATTGTTTTTTTATTTTCCAAGTTGGATTAGTTGGTGGGCTGTTGGAGCAGTTAACTTATCTCACAATGAATTTCTATACAGTATTCAAGTTTGGCTCCACAGTGGGCTTCACACAGATGCATGGTCTATGCTGTTCATTTCTCATCATTAAGTGTGGTTTGTTGATGGAAATATATATATATATATATATATATATATATTCTCACACACACATTACAGCTGAAATGATTAGTCAGTTAATCTATTAGTCAGTTAACAGATAAATAATTAGCAATTATTCTGATCATTGATTAGTTGTTTCAGTTGTTTTTCAAGCAAAGCAATTGAAAAA